AGGTTGGGAGAGGTGGGGGTACGTGTCTCCTCATTTCCAAAAGCTGGAAATACCTCCCATGCTCTTATAACCTCAACAACACTTCCTTTGAATTTTATGCCGCTCCAGAGTGCATTCTCATGTGGCCATCAAAGTTTTGCTTTTGACTGAAACGTTTTCCACACAGTTTGCAGGTGAAAGGGCCTTCTCCAGTGTGAATTCTCATGTGGCCATTCAGACTCTCTTTTTTACTGAAACTCTTTCCACACTGAAAGCATATGAACAGCTTTTCACCAAAGTGAATTCTCAAGTGAGTCTTAAGACTCTCTTTTAGTCTGAAACTCTTCCTACACTGTTTGCAGGTATAAGGTTTGTGTTTGTGGATTCGTAAGTGGATTGTAAGGCTTCGTTTTTTACTGAAACTCTTTCCACAGTGTTGACAGGTGGAAGGTCTCTCTTCAGTGTGAACTCTCATCTGGACTTTAGGCTGTGTAGTTTCTCTTTTACGAGTCTGAGAGTAACTAAAAGATTTTTCCCCAGCCATGATATCATGACATTTCTCAGTCTGATTTTTTTCTTCCGTTTCATTCAGTTCTCGACTCTTCTCTTTCAGCGCCATCAGGTCGAAGGTGAAAAGAAACAAAAACAAGTTAAGACCAGTTTATTGGCACAAAGCAAGACATGAAAACATTTAGACATTTAAAACATCAAATCCAACAACATGTATGCTAGATCTGAAGAAAGTGTAACCTGTAATCTCAGAACCTCGTGTCCTTAAGTCTTTGCTTTCTCTAGGACACGTCCCAAATACCAACAAATACCAAATAAAGCGATTTGCCAGCGGACACGACAAGAGCATGTAAGTGTTTTGCTTAATACCAGTTTTCGGTTTCCCTAATTTAGAATAAATATCTGATAGTTAGGAGGATTAATACGTTTACAGCTTATTTTATTTAAAAGTTTATGCTGATTGTGCATGTTCTTTGCCATTAGCTGTAATTAGAATTTACAAAAAGACCAGCATTTACTACACAGAGCCGTATTTCTCTGACAAGCTATGCAAAAAAAAACAAGTCGCAGCTTGCATCAAGTTCAAGTGGTGCTTACTTACAGAACAGCCATGGGCTCCTCACCCCCCTACCTCCACTCTCTCCTAAGCGTCTACATCCCCTCCAGAAACCTGCGGTCGATTAACAAGCGGTGGCTCCAGGTCCCATTACAGAGAGGCACAAAATCGCTCTCCAGGACGTTCTCTTTCACCGAACCCTGTTGGTGGAATGACCTACCTGACTCCATCAGGACAGCCAAATCCCTCACAATCCTTCACATTTTCTGTTCTCCTTTATCCTTATTCCTTTCCTGTCCTAGCTTTTACTATTTGAACGATGACCAAAACCTTGTATAACGGACACTTTTCTCATGTTTATTGCCAACTTAAGGGAAAGAAAGTTTGAAAAGATTCAGCTGGAAGAACATCTAGCAACTAATTAAGTTAATTGACATCAGGTCTGTAACATAAAACTGAGAAATTTTACACTTTTATCCACTAAATGAGCTCATTTCAAATTTGATGCCTGCTACAGGTCTCAAAAAAGTTGGCACGGGGGCAACAAAAGGCTGAAAAAGCAAAACATTTTAAAAAGATTCAGCTGGGAGAACATCTAGCAACTAATCAAATGAATTGACATCAGGTCTGTAACATGATTAGCTATAAAAGGGATGTCTTAGAGAGGCAGAGTCTCTCAGAAGTAAAGATGGGCAAAGGCTCTCCAATCTGAAAGAATGCGTAAAAAGATTGTGGAATACTATGCAATTTGAAATTTTTAAAGGCTTTGCAAATCTCATCATCTACAGTGCATAACATCATCAAAAGTTTCAGAGAAACTGGAGAAATCTCTGTGCGTAAGGGACAAGGCCAAAGACCTTTGTTGGATGCCAGTGGTCTTCGGGCCTCAGACGACACTGCATCACTCATCGGCATGATTCTGTCATTGACATTACTAAATGGGCCCAGGAATACTTCCAGAAACCACTGTTGGTAAACACAATCCGCCGTGCCATCTGCAGATGCCAACTAAAGCTCTATCATGCAAAAAGGAAGCCACATGTGAACATGGCGCCGTCGTGTCCTGTGGGCCAAGGCTAATTTAAAATGGACTGTTTCAAAGTGGAAAAGTGTTCTATGGTTAGACGAGTCCAAATGTGATATTCTTGTTGGAAATCACGGACGCCGTGTCCTCTGGGCTAAAGAGAAGAAGAATCACAATGAGCTTTATTGCCAGGTATGTTTACACATACGAGGAATTTGTTTTTGTGACAGAAGCTTCCACAGTGTAACAGAATGACAGTGGCAGGTTGAACTTCCTCAGCTGGCGAAGGAAGTACAACCTCTGCTGGGCCTTTTTAACAATGGAGTCTATGTGATTGTCCCACTTCAGATCCTGAGAGATTGTGGTGCCCAGGAACCTAAATGACTCCACTGCAGTCACAGTGCTGTCCATGATGGTGAGTGGAAGGAGAGCAGGGGGGTTCCTCCTGAAGTCCACGGTCATCTTCACAGTTTTGAGCGTGTCAGACAGACTGGTGTAACACAATCTGGGCCTGGTGCTTTTTTCCTTTTCTGCTTCCAGAAGACCTGGCACACCTCATCTTCGCTGATCTGAATTGCAGGTGTGGTGGAGAGGGGGGTTGCTGGAGGTGTGAATGGTTGTGTGGAGAGGTGTTCAGGGCGGGTGTGGGGTGTTTTTTTCAAACCTGCAGTATAACTTATTCAGATCGTCTGCCAGTTGTTGATTCTCCACAGTGCTGGGGGATGGTGTCTTGTAGTTGGTGATCTCTTTCAGACTTTTCCACACTGATGCTGAGTCACTAGAAGAGAATTTAATCCATATTTTTTCAGAATAATTCCTCTTTGCCACTCTGATCTCCTTTTCCAGTGTGTATTTAGCCCGTTTATACAAGACATTGTCCCCCTTCCTGTAAGCATCTTCTTTGGCCTGACAGAGCTGTCTGAGTTTTGCAGTGAACCATGGTTTGTCATTGTTGTAAGTTAAATGAGTCCTGGTAGGAATGCACATATCTTAACAGAAACTGATATAAGATGTTACAGTCAGTAGTCAGTGAGGTCAAAACAAGCTTTTAAATCCTGCTCTGCTTCATTAGTCCATCTTTTTACAGTCCTTAATACAGGTGTGACGAGTGGGGGCGGGGCCGAGAGCCGTGGGAACAGAGCGAGGCCGGTGGAGTAATTGATAATGAGCGACACCTGCACCACTCACCGGTCTCGAGTCTCACGGAGGACCCCAAAGCTGCTCGTGGAACAGAGTGATATGCATTCTTTATTGTGGTGTAACAGTGATCCAATATATTACTCTCTCTGGTGGGACATGTCATGTGCTGTCTGTATTTTGGCAGTTCACATGAGAGATTGGCTTTATTAAAGTCCCCGAGAATGATTAAAACAGAGTCCGGGTGTTGTTGCTCTGTCTCTGTGATCTGATCAGCTAGTTGTTGTAAAGCCGAGCTCACATGCGCTTGCGGAGGAATGTAAACACTAGCGGAGCTCACGTGCGCTTGCGGAGGAATGTACACACTTACGAGAATGAAAGAGCAAAACTCCCGCGGTGAGTAGAAAGGCTTACAGTTAATGAAAAGCGCTTCTAGATCTGAACAGCACATCTTCTTTAACACGGTTACATCTGTACACCACCTCTCATTGATGTAAAAGCATGTCCTGCCGCCGTGCAATTTCCCCGTTGATTCTGCGTTGCGATCCGCTCTGAAAAGCTGAAAGCCCGGGAGAGTCAACACGCTGTCCAGAATGGCGTCTTTCAGCCAGGTTTCCGTGAAACACAGAGCAGCAGAGTGTGATAAATCCTTATTTGTCCGGGAGAGCAGAAGGAGTTTGTCCGTTTTGTTGGGTAGAGAGCGGAGGTTTGCCAGATGGATGCTAGGCAACGGTGTTCTGAATCCGCGCTGCCTGAGCTTCACGAGGGTGCCTGCTCGCTTCCCCCGTCTGCGCGTCCTGAAGTGTCTGAACAGTAAAAACATAAAAACAACTGTGGAGCACGCCACGGAGGCAGCCATCAGCGTCGGCGCCATCTCACAACAGGAGAGGAGGGAGACCTTCCAGCGTGTCATCAGCGTTCAGTTCAAAAGCTAGCATCTCTGATGGTATGGGGGTGCATAAGTCCATACGGTATGGGCAGCTTGCATGTTTTGGAAGGCACTATGAATGCTGAATGGTATATAAAGGTTTTAGAGCAACATACAGTGGGGAAAATAATTATTTGATCCCCTAATGATTTTGTAAGTTTGCCCACTTAAAAAAAAAAGGGTTTATCATTTTTATGGTAGGTTTATTTTAACTGATAGAGACAGAATATCAAACAAAAAATCCAGAAAAAAGCAGCATACAAATGTTAAAAAAATATTTACATTTTAGTAGGTCAAATAAGTATTTGATCCCCAAGCAAAACATTAATTAGTACTTGGTGCAGAAACCCTTGTTGGCAAGCACAGAGGTAAGACGTTAATTTATAGTTGTCACTAGGTTTGCACTAGGGCTGTGCTATTTGGGGGAAAATATCAAATTGCGATTTTTTTGACAGATACCATCTGCCAGATTACATCCCACCAATAGAATCCATCAAATAGACACCATTATAGTTTACATTAAAACCAAACAAATTCCCATTATAACCCTGAAAGCCATTACATTTTTTATTGTGTTCTGGGAGAGGTTCTATTGTTTTTTTTTCAGCAGGCAAGATTATAATGGTATAACTACGTTTACAGAATTGACTTAATTACTGAATTTCACAGAAAATATTTGTTTATTTTTTATAAATAAAGAACTTAATTTCTAAAGTCAATTATTAAAGTATTACATATGTTTGCATTATAAACTTATTTCAAATTAATCTGTTGGGGAGATAAAATGTGTAAGATAATGTTCTCGTACTAACAAAAACATCTAAGAACTATCGCAGGCTTTGCGATTAGGAAATCGCAACATCTCAAATCGCGATTTCGATTCGAGTTCGATTAATCGCACAGCCCTAGTTTGCATACATCTCAGGAGGGATTTTGGTCCACTCCTCTTTACAAATCCTCTCTAAATCATTAAGGTTTCTTAGCGGTCTCTTGGAAACTCTAAATTTCATCTCCCTCCACAGATTTTCTGTAGGATTAAGGTCTGGAGACTGGCTAGGCCACTCCATTGCTTTGTTGTCTTGGTGGTATGTTTCGGGTCACTGTCATGCTGGAAGACCCATCCATGACCCATCTTCAGTGTTCTGGCTGAGGTTCTTGTCCAAGATTTTACAGTACATGGCCTCGTCCATTTGCCCCTCAATGTGGTAAAGTCGTCCTGTACCCTTAGCAGTAAAACAGCCCCAAAGTAGGGTTATGACGGTGAGGAAATTTTCCCACCGGTTAATCGACGTGTGAC